TCTCAATATGGTCTTCCTTGGATAAAATGAGTAATTTGTGATGCTTTAGTCTCTCTCTTATCTTCCAGAGAACGAATTAATCTTGCAGTGTTGCTCTGTACCATCTGCAACACCCAAGACATTACTGAGACCAGACTGGACACAGTACTCCAGTAACCGGTTCAAGACAATACTAACACCATGCTCTTATTTTACTGCTCTACTTATAAAAACAGGAACTGGGAATTTATGTACAGTTAATTCACCACAGCCACCATCATTTCAGTCTATTTTCCAGGGAATGGGTATTCTGGGAAATAAAACCACCCTAACTGTTTAAAAAAATACATAAATACATACACAGGTTTACGTTTTATCCTGACAAGACAAGCGAGTGTCTAGACCTCCACGTAACCTAGACCTCCATAGAAGTTACTTGCTTGCCATGATTTCTCACTATTCCAATTTGTGTTTCCTCTAAAAACTATACCAACTACAAGTTAGTATTTTCTTCTCATCCAACAGAGACTAAATAGCACTGGCAGCGCTATTGAAGAAGAAGTGCACATGCCAAATGGCTGCTGGGAGTTTGGAGAACACAGCATTTGCAGCAAAGTTTGTCATCAGCACATCTCATTTCTTACAAGCCCTCCAAAGCACCCATTACTCCCCAAATTTAGGGACGTTTACAGCCTGACCGTTTACTGTTCTTGCATAAGGCCAATACCAGATCCTTCCAAGACACCACTGGAGACTCTACACAGCAAGGAAGATCCTGATTTAGAGTTAGAGTTTGAAAATATTCCAATCCTGAATCCCTTTCTTTGACAAAGGCTACCCTAAATCACAGTCTAAGAGAGAAGATGTATGAGATGAATGAAATACTAACAGGTGAGAGCAGGAAGGGGAAGAAAATGAAGGCAGGGCAATAAATAATACAATGCACACATCCCTTTGGGAAGTCTTTGCTGTAAAAATGAATACAGAAAGCAACCTCCCTAAATGGCATTCAGTGCTCATGGATGTTACAGCGGAGGACAGCAGTGAAAAAAGAAGCGCTGCTACATTCGGAATGTACTTGGGAGGGAAAAAGGTTTCAGCAATAAGGTCAGGAAGGAGAAGGATAATCCCCACAGTAAATCAATACACAAAACACATCCTGCATAAGTTGGGCAGTGCACACAGAGTTCAGTCCTGGATAGTCTTGGCAAGAAAGGAGGTGAAATGTAGACAAGTTAACGTATGTTAAGGGTGCAACTGAGCTCCAGACACCCAAATTTAGTTACCTCTGTAGGTGCTTTGTGCTGATGCTCCCAACGTATCCCAATGGAGCATGGAGAGCGATCCAGCTGACCCTCATGCAAACAGTTGCAGTGGGTCAGCCGAATCACTATCCACGCTCCATTTGCTGGAAATGTTAAGAGGAACTATTTCTTGCTCAAAGCGGAGGAGAAGCATCAGGCTGAGGGTGAAGAAACTAGGATTTGGATGCTAAAATAAACCAATAGGACAGAAAATTCACGACAGCAGATGGGGCATATTAAATTTCTAATGCCACTCTCGTATTTTGTGCATTATTCTCTATAACTGCTTGATACATTTAACATGTCATTTTCTAGAGACAAGATAGAAAGGTTTCCTATCCCTATTTCCTAATGTCATTCACCTCATCCTAAGCCTCCTATAAAAGCTGCCTTTTTATTTCCATTTTCGCTCTTTAAAACGTCTGAAGATACTTAAACTTGCTGCTCACTGGAGAGGGAATAAACACACAATTTACAATCCCATCTCCTCCATGCCTGATATGACACAAATTGTTCCCATTTTTACTTCAGGTCAAGTTTTATACTCTGCAAGGCCTGAACTTTTGTTCAGTGCTCCAAACTCATTTTCCTACAACTATGCATTTGATACGCCGTGTTTGCACACCCAAAAGACCCTTTAGCCAGAAGGCTGAGGAACATCAGCACTGACATGTGCAAGCAGCTGGTCAAAGAGGATTAGCTGCAAAAATGGGGAAAAAAAAAGTCAGGAGAATCTTATATATTTTATAAGATCCTGATGTAGATTCTGGATTTGTGGTACACTGCTTTCTCAGTATGGAGCAATACAAATTTAGTTTAGCAAATGATGCTGCTCTGTTCCATTAACCTGATACACCAAGCACAGCCGCACAACTTCTCCCAGCATTTTCCAAAAAATACTGTATGAATAATTTTGACAACTAGACCTTTCAACACACTCCCTTTTCTGTCCTATACATATCTCAGATTAAGCTTCAGCTATCTACTTGTCACTCTGCCCTGCGATAAGAACTCAGGCACTTGCAATGCTTATATTGGAAGCAGAAGTGATTGATAGCTGGGAATTACCCGCAGATTGAATTATATTTTACTTATTTTTGGGTTAAGATTACAGAACAAGCACAGAATTACCACAGCACAACCCATGGGAGACGGGTGACTGTAACTTGACTACTTCTACAAATATAACCCAAACCAGAGAAATATCTTCCTCCAGAGCTGCAGCATATATTAACTTAAAGCTTACAAGATGCTGCCCGAATGGGGTGTCCTGTCACTGCTGCTTAATGACCTTTCCTTTCTCCCAGCCTCTAAATTATAATATGGTGGGAAGACATAGAGGAGGTGGTCTCCATCAATTGTGTTAGCAGTTTATAGAGGGGAAAAAAGTGATAAAGCAAAATCTGTTTTTCCCAGTCCAGCCTGCAAACTCTGTGACCCAAGACTCCTGTTAAGGGTAATGTTAAAAACAAAAGAGAATAGCCACCTCCAAAGGAAGGAAGAATGGCAAATCTAGAATTCACATGCTTCAGAAACGCCCTTTAGAACAGAGGGGTAAACTTGTATACACTTAAAACTTCCAGTGCAGCAAAATGCTATTAATTGTTATTTTAACTACTAACGTTAAGAGAGCCTTGCTAGGATTTACTGAGAGTCCATATAAAAAAATCCTGGCAAGCTATAAAATCACCTTAGATAATACCAAAAAAGTCAGACAATTTTTAGGCAGCTTTTTGTTTCTAAAGACAGTCCTTACTAATATATTTAATAATGCCATGGCAAAGATTTAAAACAGTTTCCTTAAGTTTTACAAGTATTTCTAACAAAAGAGGAATGGAATAGCAGAGATCTATGAATTACAAGATAGAGTCACTAGATTTAAGGAAGGAACAAGACAAATAACAGCAAAAGACAGGAATCTGCCAGGAAAAGAACACACTGATGAACTGCCTGTCAAGTAGCCACATATGTAAACCGAATTTAAGACTAAAACATGCCAATATGTTGCTCATACTCCAGCTTTTTTCCTCAAAACATGCATCAGTCTGAAAGTAATTTATAGAGACATTTTTCATTTAGGTCACTGTTAAAATATTTTAACTGAGCTCCAAAGAACAGTACTTAGTTCTCTGTCTATATTCCTTATACATTCCTAGATAACATTTAACCTCAGGAGCCAACAGGGAATGTTATGCTGACTCCAGCTTACTTTCTTGCCAAGAAAGTGAGAAGGAAGAAGCCAGCCACCCTAGTCAAAATTTATCTACCTTCAGAGAATACAGAAAAGCTCAAGGACCTAAATTATTTCAAAGACTAAGGGTTATCTGTCTGAAAACCACTGCGTATATTATGCATTTGAGTTCACTAGTAAGAGCAAAAACATCTGAAGCAGAAAGAGGAAGAAAAGGAAGAGTTATCAGACATCATCCTGCTTTATTATAAGAAAGAAGACCCTCAGATTTAATAAATTTCTACTATTCCCACTACTGCACTGCAAAGTACAACCAGAGTTCTTTAAAGACATGTAAGAAATGGGCACTTGCATAGAAACCCAAAAATTAATCCCTAGAATACTCTTGATCAACTACTATGTATGAATAAAACACTTTTGAGTAGAACAGTTACATGGCTGGGTAGGAAAGGATACCTGGTGACAGCGTATGGACACCTACCTACAGAAAGCACACAGGGACTTGAATAAAGCCTGGCTTCTCTCATTTTGCACACAAGTAAACAGATTGCACAAGACAAAGTTCCTACAAATAATCCCAGGCACAGCCCAGACTAACCTCTGCTATATCTGTACATTATACAGGCCTCTGCCTTCCCAGGTTTTAGTGCTTACCACAGCAAGAAAACCCCAGGAACGTGCAATCCTCTGCCTTGCAGCACACAGGACTTGCTTCTCTACACAGCTCTACTACACAATCCTGCATTTATGCTTAGAAATTAGAAATAAGGATACATTCTTTATGCCACTTAGTGCAAACATGTTGGCCATCCTAACGTGAGATTAGCTACAATTGAGAAGCAGGGAAAATGGATGGTGAAAAAAAAAATGAACAAATGCATCAGGGATAAACAAGGAGGAATCGTATTTTGGGGGATTTGCAGCATAAATTTTTTATATACTGGAAACAAGAATAATTTGGGAAGCTAGTATGGTCCACGCCTAGGTGAAGAATAGAAAGCCCTTGCATTAAAAGTTCATTTTTTTAGTAGTACACTACAGCTTTCCAAATAGTGGGTGGCTTCTCTCACCTTTTTCTTAAAGCTGCAACCACCCCAAAACAGTTAAGTTTTTAATTTGAAAATGGGGATTAGTCTTTTTTTTAACAGATTAAAGTAGGAGCTAATGAGGTTCAGAGCTTCAGATCAGAAACTTCCTCTTTCAAAACAGATGTAAAGAATCTCTTAATTTGCGGTGGTTTTGTATTTATGCTGTCTAGAACCCGAGTTGTGGGAACGTAGGACATTAACCCCTATTTTTTTTTGTGCTTCACAGAAACTGCAGCATCAGGATACTAAAATAGCATCATTTGTCCCTGAAACTGTAGTCAAAAGTACACTATTATAAATCCCCAAACAGAAGCATTTATAGATTAGTGGAGCTTATCCTTAACTGAAGGTTAATGCTATGCATATGTGAATAAATACAAAAGAGAACAACTATAAAAAAGTCATTTAAGAGATAGCATTCAATTTTGTCATTTCAACCTCTCTTCGTCGTGATGCCCAGCAACTTTGTTTAATCTTCCAAACCACAGCTGCCACCAGGAGCAGAGACAGGAAACAACTGTAAAGGAAAAAAAATAAAAATATCTTATTGTCATTGTTCATAACATAACGGCAGCTGAAAAACTCTAGCAAATCAAAAAAACTAGACTAAAAGTTCATATAATACTTAGAGGTGCTTTGATGAAAGATAATATAGCAGTGCAAAGTGTTTTGCACAGATCAGTGCTCATGACACCTGGTGAGGAATGATATACATCTATTTTCAGAGAAAACTGTTGTTCCAAAGTTACCTATTTGACCTGCTTATATGACATCCAGCAACTTTCACCAGGAAATACGAACAGAAAGGCAGAAAGATTTAATCAAATTGGAAAAGCCAGTATTGACTATATTTGGAGATATTTAAAGTGAGAGGATAACCCAAAAAGGAAAAACCTTGAAAGAAGCAGAGAAAATTGGTTATTTTTTCTTTTCCAAATTACAAAAATGAGATAAAAGTGTACAGTAGTTGGATTCTTTTTAACTGGCTATTGCAGAACTATAGGCATTTCTTAATTTCCCCAAATCTATATTGCTTTTCTTAAATCTAAAGAGGAGAAAAAGATGAATAGATCCATCAACTTCTAGGGAAAATGCAAAGAAGCAGATATAGCAAAAAGCAGTTACAATAGTAATAATAATAACAATAAAAGCCAACTTTAATGACAGTTATGATCTTATCACACTGAATACTTAATGAGCAACTTCAAGGCATACAAGCTTTCTAACATTAACGTTTTTCCTTTTGTATATCTGAACCCCCAGTGAACGCCTCTCTTCAAGTACTGCACTGATGGGTAAGAGAAAGTGCCTGCAAACCTCCTTCCTTAGGTCTAGTGTGTATTTAAAGAGTGCTTAAAGGAAAATTAACCACAATAGATGACTTATTTCCTAAAGTGCACTATTTACACCAACTGCTGTGCTCTGTGTGTTTGAGTGAGGATTTCTGCTGCAAGGGGGAATGGGCATCCTGGACTCCCTGCCTCTGGGCACAGCTCAGTGCTCACCATCCTGGGGCTCCCAGGAAAATCTGTGGTGGGAGAAAAACCATGACTGCTCAATACTCCCTGCCTTTCAAAATAAACTCAGCTCTGCTTCCAAAAATCAATCCTCTTTGCAGATCCCCAAATCTCTCATTCCCAAACAACGCCGTGGTTTGCACTGTGCTCTTTCACCCTACTCATACAAATGTACATGACCCCGATGATGATGACAACTTCTACTTGGACGTGAACCTACTGTTGTTCTGCTGACTAAAAAAACCACAGCTTATGATGATGGATGGCATCTCATCCCACCAGTTCCCTACTGTCCCTTCTCTTCATAAATGCCATGCTGTCTGTCTTATGCAAGCTGTGAGAGACTGCAGATTTTGTCCTTCAAGCACTTCAAGTGTCAGTAACCAGGAGTCCTACTTTACAACAGCAAATTCTTTAGCAGAGAGTAATGCAAAGGCGTGGAAATACTTATCATTAAAAAAAAAGATAGGCAGCAGGAACCATTCCCTGAGCTGCAGAAGGAGGAGGGCCTGTTCCTGACTACATATCACTGTCCATAGCCTATATATTACGAAAACCATGTGTGACCAGGCACCGAACACTCGAGGAGCAGCCAGTAGGCAACGTGACCGTATTTTTCAGGCTTAGATATGCACAGAAGTATGTTTTACTATCATATAGTATATGATATTAAAAAATTGGCACTTGCATGACTTCAGTATTAAAATGTCTGCATGGCTTTTAAAGACTCCTATGGTGCCTATTGCTTTATAAATTTAAGCAGGATCACAGAGAGATTTGTTTGGCCCTTTTCACTTTAAGACGTATGTATTCCAAATCACTTCCCCCGCATTTTCTCTAAATATTAAAATCTGACACTATTTCACTGTAAAATCCTGCCCATTTTTCTGGAAACACAAACAGTTTAGACAAGTGCCTTTAATGGCTATTTTATTTGCCTTTTTGAGAGGTACTGGATTATTACCGACTTTTGCAGTAAAAAACAATGTGTGCCCATTAACTAGTAAAGCGTATACATTAAATCTTTAATTCCTATTTTGGTAAAGAAGCTAACATGCATTATTGATGATTAGGGATTTCATACCTTCAGCTTTCCCTTTCTTTCCTGAAGCTCCCTGTCAGTGTATTAAGTGCAGCAGCAGGCTAACCATACCACCTGGAAACGGTATTTCTCTCCTGAGCAAGGTCATGTTTGGACTTGATGGCTTTTCACTTTTGCCACACCTGAGCAGGGACAAGTGAATTATGCGGTCGCAAAATTTTTGCGTGCCCACATTTGTCTTGGGACTCCTGCTCGTTCCCAACAGCACGAATGCCACCACACTTTCTGAATGGCTTGAGTAAGCTTTTTCTTATTTTAAGCTCCCTTTTCCTCAAAGAAACATAAAGTTGTTCTAAGATGCAACATTTGCTTTGAGGCCCAAAGAAGGCTGTGCTCCCTGATGGGCAAAAATCCAAAATGTATCCATGCAAAACCAGCACAGCTAAGACCATGAGCTAAATCTTTGGTCTGCTTTGTTTTCAGTAACATTTTAACATTAACGTACAAATGGAGGGTGGAAATAAAACAAAATCTTCGAGGAAGCGGGGGAAAGTGTTCCTGGCTCCACACTTAATTTGACCATGAAAACAACAATATCCAAAACATCTGCAGGAGTCCTCAGGACAGGCTGCCAAAGCACAAACTCCTGCCAGACGTTCACGTCCACATCATGACTCCAGTGAGAAGTTTCATCTCCAGATAAAGCATTTTAGATGCAGCTTATGGGCAACAGCTACTGCCGTGGCTTATCCAAGTCTACCTCCTTGATACCCTTTTATGTGAGGAAAGGAGATGGAAGTTCAAAGGGCAGAGGAAAAAGGCCAGATGCTTCATCAATCTCTAGCACCTCTGTGTTATAAAGGCTCATTTCAGAGAGATTTACATTCAGGAGAAGTTTCTCGAGAAGTCAAGCATACAGAGGAAGATGCTTTGTGCTATGCACATCCAGCAAACTGAATAAGACCTCCACCTTTCTATAGAAAAGGGTGACCTCTGTAGAAGGTCATCCTTCTACGTGATCCTTACAAGACATATGTGCTCCATTCACAAGCATTGGTCAGACAGCACCAGGAACATACACACCGAACTGAAGATACGCATCAAAACATGCTGAGCTCCTATGAGGGTGGCTCCTTATTAGGAAAAAATGTGGCCTCAGAGAGTTGTAAACATCAGGTACGGTTTCCTTATTTTTGGGTGATTTGAACCCGGTATCTCCCTACATATTCATTCTTCCCTTGGAGAAGAAAGCAAGAGAGGAGAACTAAGCAGACCACCTTTATCCTTATATTAAATCCCCTTTCCAAAACACAACATTGCACAAGATTGTTTGTGCCAGAGTCCTTCACGGGTTTCTCGTTCCTGCCTCACTTCTGGCCCCACAGCCAAGACTTTCTGAAGGAAAGCACAGAAAGGAATTAACAATTAAAGACTAATAAAAACTCTTTCCAAAACGCTCACCACAGTATCCTGTATTTCAGAAGAGCACCATACATCTTTGTATCGTCACAAGGAGGCAGCAAATACCCACAAAAGCTATACAAACCCTAAGGAAATGTATTTCCACCCCTGCACTACCTCCCCTTGGCAGCACAGGGAGGAATAAAAGGCAGCGCCTGCTTGCTGGGCTGCAGTCCATCACCTGCTGGAAAAGCCCCAGGGGAAGCGTGAAGTCAAGATCTATCTGTTGGGCTTACTCATCCTAAACCATCCTGAAATAAGTTAAAAAGGCCTGTCTTCACGTCAGTAGCTTTAAAGAAGATTTTTTTTCCATACCTTCTCTTGGAAAGCAGTTGTGTAAATATGGAAGCAGCGGAAAGAAACAGCTGCGTGGAACGAGAGCCGTGTTGGAAAATGATTTGGAGTGAAAGTCTACGGCTGGCAGAGTCATAGTCAAACGTCGTGCTCTGCCCTGCTTTCTCCTGAACAGGCTCAGCGATCTCTCTGCCAGCTACAAATATCCACCCATTTCCAAATGGCTTTAAAAAATAAACCTTTGCTGCAGTACTTACTTCACCTTCTCCTTCTGTTTCTTTCTCCTCCAAAAATAATAGCCTACCAAGAGCCTCCTTCATCCCTGAAATCCAGTGTTCATTCAAGTCTTCTCTCTACACCTCCCATCTCAAACAACGCTTTTGTATCGTTTCTCCTCACTCATCTCTCTGAAGAGAAGGTAAAGGGGACAGAAATGTTCTCTGGCTTTTAATGTCTCAGTGCAGTCTGTACACAGTCCTGCAAATGTCAGGTACAGGTGAAGCAGCACATCCAGTAGATGAACTATCCTGAACTACCAGCTGTTGGATTCCCATTTTTTCTAAGGACAGTGATGAGTCCAGCTTGAGAGCAATTTAATTTTACCAACAGAAAAAGAGGAAACCAGAAAACTCAGATGTGAAACCAGACTGGAAGGAAAAAGAGCAACCTAGAGACTTCTAACACCCCGAGAGATGTTTTCATCTCTGGGAAATTTGAAGATGACTCCCCATTTGGCTCAGGTTCTACCAAATGCAGCTTTTGCCTATACAAGCTACAAAAGTTTATGCTTACACAACATAAATATTGCAATACAGGAGAAATTACATTTATATTTTATGGAGAACATTCTATTTGATAAATAGCTTAATTAAGTAATTCTTAATTATTTATTAGATTATTTAAGTACAACAAATGAGCAACATGGTTATAAGTAATCTCCCCTTAGTTGGCCTCACCACATGCGTTAATTGTGAGTTGATAAGCCTTCAGTGCTCTTTATACCACAGGGTATTCCCATCCTGACACAAAAATCTGAACTTAAAACACCCTGTTTGGTACTTCTTCTCTAAGCTCATTTTCATAGCAGAGAGGATATTTTCCCCACTCCAGGCATCCTTAAAGCGCTCCAAACAAGTACACTTTCATTTTTAAATGGCCGGAAAACTTCATCAGCACTTTGGTAAGATGCGTTCTCACAAGGAAAGAAGAAAATCCATTCTGAAACTCTCCTGCAATGTTTATCAACATCAGAATTGCTAGTAAAAAATGGCAGTTCTAAATGCCAAAATATACAGTAGCTTCAATACTAATATGCTTTAACATATATAGGTCACTTAATGATTTCAGAAAGCCCTGCAATGATTATTAGAAACACATCCCAAATTATTTTGATGAATTGGAAGCTATTTAAGTGCTATTCAATAGTAAATTTTAATATGCTGGTGAGTTACAGGATACGTTTTTTAAGTACTTGATGCACTAAAGCTCAAAATAATTGGAACATGTACATACTGCAGAAGGAGTGTACAGTTGGCCTTTGCCAAACGGCTATCTGCAGCCAACAGCAAACCAACAGATCTGATCTACAGATTAATGACCTTATTTTTCTGCTGAAGATGGCATCAAGGTTTAACAAGCCACAAAACACCTTATTTGCAGCAGGTGGTACTATTTTTCTTTTGTGACTCTTTTAAAGATCTACTTATCTGCTAGCACAACCAATCCGATGCCCTGTAAAATCATGGCAGCGTCCATAAACACAAGATCAGTCTAACCAGAGGTTTGAGGTCTTTTGGGGAAGCAGGTATTAATATACTTATCTGTTTGTTTGTTTGTTTGGTGGTTTTTATTTGGTTTTGTTTGTTTTTTAAGGTTCAGATTTGAAAGCCCTTCTATGCTATCAGCCTTGAGAAAAGAAGACTTAGGGGACACCTTTATCACCATGTTGAGTATTTAAAAGGGTGGCTACAAAGAAGATGAAGACTCCCTTTTTACAAGGGGTCACATGGAAAAGAGATGGGGTAATGGGTATGATTTACTCCTGGGGATATTCCAATTGGACACAAGTGGAAAATTTTTCACAATGAGAACAACCAGCCCTTGGAATAACCTCCCCAGGGAACTGGTGGATTCCCCATGATTGGACACTTTTAAGATTCAGTTGGACATGGTGCTACAGAACTGGCCAGTAAAGCAGAGAAGCACAGAAGAAACACAGATGCACCTTTTTTTTTTTTTTTTAAAAAAAAAAAAAAAAGGAAAAGAAAGGACGATTGGTGAGCAATATGAGTTTAGAAGACCAAGGATTCAAAATAATAATTTCACATCTTGTGTTGCAAAAGTACGCTGGTGAGAAATACATGTTACAGATAGGTGTTGTGGTATACACAAATTTTTTGGAAGACAAGGAAGCACAGATACTAATAAAAATGTTTACTAGAGACTATAAAAATAGCTCAAACTATCTGCTGAAAACAAGAGCAAGATTTGTAAATTAAAGAGCTATGTTACGAAAAGCAGATGAGGAAACAGAAAAAAAAAAAACAGTTTGCTTGCAATTCATTTAGCTTTGCAAAGGTTAACAACGTTTAGAGTATCATTTCTCCTGTTGGCTCCAATTATAATGCAATATTAAGGACCCTGTAACTTCACTGTTCCACCCAATCTTTATCTGCTGACATTTTCTTAGCTTAAAACGTTAATGTGTTGCAAAATAAAATGATGATAACATAAAGCCACACACCTGACTTTGTGCTGAACACCAATTCCAGAAGGAGCTCCAAGAGTCTAACAGCACCTCTGAATGTGGGGCGCACCCCCTCTCACCCATGGTAGCCCAGCTTTTAAACGAAATGGAAATCAAATCCAGCAGTCACCTTTCGTCCTGCTCAGCACTGCAAGATGTTGTTTAAATGGATGGCCAGGTTCCTGGCTTCTCTGTAATTTCGTGTGCCTCACAGAGTGAGTCCACAAATTATGGAGCCTGTGACGCTCCATAAATTAAGCAGCACTGGAGTCTGGCAATCCAGCTTCCACTCCAGTGCCCACTGGAGGGACTGACTTGACCTAAATCATCACAAATGTCAGCAATGACACTGAGAATCTAAACCCACCCGTTTTTCCTGCATGGTTCCCCACACAGCTCAAGGCACAGCTGTTTCTTGCATGGCAGCAGAGCATGTTTAGGATGGGGGTACAACAAAGTGGAGAGGGTGGCTTCTAGAAGATGGAAATGTGGCTACAACATCACCAGCACAGAAGAATTTCCAAAATTATCCACAGAATAGCAAAATGAAGCAAGACCCTTGAACATGAAAACAGAAAGTCTAAGCATGCATTTTCCAGAACAAAGTCTCTTTTTGTGTCTCTTCTTGGAGAGAGAGCTGGTGGAGAGCATCTATTGTTCTTTTCAATGGCCAGTCCACCCCAAACCATGACAATTACACTCAAAGAATTGAGACTTATCTCAGTTTTTGAGTTAGAGGTGGCCTGTAGCTCAAAGGTGGTTTTACCAACTGTCTTTAGGCTTTGCAGAAAGTATTTTCATTGCCTCTACTTAGTGTGCAACTTTTCATCCAACTCTATCTCATTAACATCACAGGGGGCTATCAGATATTACTTATTCATGGTCTAACTTGGATTCAACTGTAATTATGAAATGCACCCTAGAGCATTAAAACTGCAAGCGTTTCAATAGTTTCCCCAACAAACAACAGAGATGAACCATGCTGTTCTAATACACTGGTTATTTAGCAAGTTATGGTGACCGTAAAATAAAATACTGGGAGAGCAACTTTGCAGAAGTTACAGCTAAAGAATCGAAGAATTTTTAATGCATTATAAATGCTTGGTTGGAAAACACCAATAAACTGTCTGCTTCCAAATACACACGTTCTTATTCCTCTGGCATGGTAGGATGTTAAGTATTACTACTTCTCAGAGATCCGTGTGATCGCAGCAAGGGAGGGAAGGAAAAATCACTGTTGACTATCTTCAATCTACATAACTTTTGGACATGTATTTTCAGCTGCATGTGCTCCTTAAGATATATAATGCACATATTTTCTGCTTTAAAGCGTGATTCTCTTTCAATAATGGCACTGGAGGAATCACTCATATTGAAGAGTTTCAAACTCTCATATGCAGGTGGATCTGGGCCTGTAAAGAGTGAATAGTTTTTAAAGTGGGGATCAAACCTCTGCCATTAAAAAGGAACTAAGGAACCAACTGCTTTCCTATTCGTTCCCCTCATAAGTAATTACCCTGCCACAAAGATTTTTAGGGAAGACCTTGACTGTGATGGATTCAGCAGAACAAATGCTTAAGTCTGATCCAGGAGTAAACACTCCATATCAATGGAAGCAAGGTGGTGGTTCGAACCTGGTGTTTATCTGGGATTGTATTAAAGCACACTCCATTCTGTAAAAGCTGAATACAAAAAAGAATTAAAAAAATTTATATAAACTACTTGTCTGAAGGACCCATCTGGAGCTCCTTGCTTTAATTAAATTTAGCATGGAATTTAAAGCACTGCACATTTTAAAATGGGCATAATATTGCCTACTTTAAAACAGGTTTTAAGATCTGGAGTACTGTTTGCTCCATGCATTTCCCTCCTGAGGGAGTTCTCCTTATTGATCAAGTATCAGTTTATATTTGTGGAGTATTAACAGCTCCTAAAATAGAGGATAACACATAGATTTTGAAACTTAAAGAGATGGCCTGCTATTTAACCTCTTTGTTAGGACTTTACTTTTTTGGAGAACGAAAGAGGAAACAAGGATTGAAATTGCTCCTGTTGGTTCCACCTCCTAGGGAACCATCAGTTTTCTTCCCACTAAGAAATGAACTTTATGAAGCAGTTCATGAATGACAGAAGGGTATTTGGACTCAATTGTGTTGAAACATATGTTTCTATTTAACTTGACATATTTTCAGAAGTTCAGTTTAGACTCAAAAGGTGCTACCTAAAGAGTTTTAAATTAGCCCATGGTTAACTCTTTGCAAAATCACCTCCTTAATTTATGATTTGTATCTGATTATGTGCGAACATCAGCAGCTTCTCTAAGTCATACATTATTTGTATGATGTGGTAACTCAAAAGATGCCTTCTACGCCATTTTTAAAATAACTTCTCCATTTCAAAAAGCCTTCCCCCTGCCCCAACCTCCCCTTCCCTGCACGCACAGGACAAGACACATTTGCAAAGATGGGCAGACAATTTTCTTAACATATTTCTTAATTTAATACTTCAAACAGAGCAGAGATTTCAGTTTTCTAGGCTGTGATGTAAGCAGGATATTTAATTACAAAAAAAAGGAAGACATCATAAAACCAAACACTATGCTGAAAAAGAAAACCCAAACATCTTTCCTAAACAAGAAACACTTAGCTATCTTAAATTAAAAGTACCTGAAAAATGTCACAAAGAACTGTACCAGATCCATAAAGTTGCTGTGTTGTGAGAATGCAATCTGCAAAAGAAAAGCAAATGCTTTCTATTACTTACTGAAAAGAAAATTCACATTTAAGATGTATTGCTGCTGGGATCAAAAAGTCACAATGAAATAAGTCTTAATACTTAAGTCAATAAACATTTTTGAACGCTGTTTTGAAAAAGCACTGAAATATTCTGAGGGAAAAGAAAATAAACTATAACTTCACATTATTTTGAGATCATATATCCAAAAAAAGAATCTAAATAAGTAACATCTCTTTCTCCCAACAATGTTCAAGGAATAGTCTTTCAGTGCACATTTACTACCTTGGAGAAAACACTAGTTCAAAAAGTTAGAACATAGCAAGTTTCACAGAGCTAAAAATAGAGCATCTTTAATTATTGTATACACAGCAACTCAAAATACAACATTTAAAAGTTTAAAATGCATGCTCCTATTCAAACAATATTCATTCATCAATATCTCCTCAAACAAGTAACTTACACCAAGAGCAGCAAAAAGGCATGAAACACAGAAGATAATAGATACTGTAAAAACAGCTATGGCATTCATCTTAACTCACTTTCCTGCAATCCACTCAAACTGCAAAGAAAAGTGAAAAACAACTGAATATTTTGGACAAAAAACAGAGGGAAGAAGCGAACAGGAAATTGGGAGGTGGTCAGAGGCAAAAGGAAAGATTAGGGAGCCTGGTTAAAAATAACAAAGCAGGGGGGAGGCAAGCCAACAGAAAGGCAACTCCTGCAACATTAGGAATCAGAAGTTCTTTCCAGGTACCTCCTATTTCCTCTGACTATCAATCTCAGCACCACAACAGGATATTAACTCTTTCACGAAATTACTGAATTTATTCCAAAGCTAAACTGAAATCTGCACTTACAAAAGCTTTCCATGGATATTAAAGTCACTTACAGCGTCCTTTGTTGGATTTTTTCCTTGATAAACTGCATGTTACGGTACCATTAGCATAAATACAAATCTCTCCTCGCAGCAATAGTCACATTCCAAAACTCATGAATATATGCAAAATGAGTTATTGCTTGGATTTCTGTTGCTCTAAAGCATCTTCTATTATCATATTTGATTTAATTATCCATTGTAACTTGTTTTAGAAGCTGATCGAAATAATTTTCTTACAAATGTATTGAAATGCTCTGAAGTTGAAAGCTCCTTTATAGCACGTAATTTCTGTTTCACTGGAAAGCTAACTCAAAACCTGCAGACCAGATGCTTGCGACATCAATATTACTGCGTACAAAAGACAAGAAAACACATAGTTTCTTGCTGATTTTTTACCTATAAAGTGGTTCCCAATAGCTTTCTGATTAGAAAAAGAGAGTGAGTATGATTTCACTTTTTATTTTAAAACTCAGTGCGTGGTAACTGAGGTGGTTTTATATTCACACAACTATTCTGGCATTTCTCTAAAGCGAAGAATTTGCTTACTAAAACATCACATCCCAAAATACCAACATGTAATATATCCAGCAGACAGAAATACGGTCTGAGAATAACTATGATGTTGACTGACTATAAAAGACGCTTTTAAAAATAAAGACCTTATTATGTATTAACAGCTTATGTTTTAAAATCCTTTTGTAGAAAAAGAAAATTAAAAGCACAAAGATTTAATCAGTGGGTTAGTCCTCTGCAGACGATCATTAGGACCAGTTTCTGTGATAGGACTGGTCCTGTGATAGGACCAACGTTTGCTCCAACTGGAAGAAGAAACAAGTGTCTGCTAATTTTTAAAAAGGACAGATTCTATTAAAGATTAACAAGACTGCAAATTCATCTCTAAACTGCTACCAGAGAAAGGCTTCTCACTTTTCAGTAGTACAAGTGTAGGAAAGAAATAAAACAGAAAAGGAAAATTTGGGTTTGTTTCACACAGAAGCACTATAAATGCTTTACCAGCAGTGGTTCTTCTGCCTACCTGCTGGAGCTCTTCCCTTACAAAGACCAACCAAGGATCTGTACCTCATATACAAATTAAAAAAACAACCTAGGTTGGTTTCTGCGATTTACTTCTCACAAGCTGAGAACACTTTATGCTATTAAACCTGACCAACCTATGTCACAGGCAATTTAATGTCATAATTGTTAATGGTTTACTTACTTGGAGCTTAATTTCCCCTAATACAATCTGCTCCTAGGACTTAATTAATTCAGTTACATAGAAAGTTTGGTTAGAAATAGCTGTTAAAAGTAGACTGTTCGTTCTGGATATAGGAAAAATATGGCACACATTTCTTAGCGGTATGGATTTTTAATTAAGTTTAAATGACAGTAGAAGATTCATTTATCCATTCTCAAAAAGCTAATTTTGTACCAAAGGCGCAAACAGTGCAACTGCAGGAAAACACCCTGTATCTTGTGCTGGGATTGGGAGCGCATCCTCCAGGTCCTGAGCAGGCAGTCAGCTCAGCAGCAAAGTCAAATTGTCACTTTCATAACATAAGCATCTGTTAAAGATGTTTTGTACTATGTTCTTAGGAATAATGCAGTATCCTTAAGTAGCTAAGATCAAAACAGATCAGAAAATTAATTACATTAATTCCAGAGAATATTATAAAGTTAGTGTTTATCTGATCAGAAAAGGTATCTGGAAAAGCACACCAGCCCATCATGCTTTCTCTAATGCCACATCATTTGAAGTACCAAAAAAAAATCTGGCTGCTTTCCAGATGAACAAAAGTAGCCGGCTATATGGACTAACAAAACTGTATAATTAAGAGCTTTGCTTTCTTTATCATTTGATTAGCATAAAATATTAAGCCAAGGAGAAAACTGGCTACCTCTAACTACCCAACAGCATCTAAAAAGTGCTATAGTTTTGAAATCGGTACACACATATTTCAAAGGAGTTAACGGCAAAGTACTTGGCCACAAAATATTTTGTGTAAAGGAAAAGCAATTTGAACTCAACTGACATTTCAGTAACAGTTGGTATTTCAAACTCAAAATACTTCTGGAGTTAAACTACAGTCTGCGACTGATACAAATTTTGATGATTGCATAACCAGGAATTGGTCCACATTAGTACTGGAGTTTGTGCTTGAAGAGAAAAGAAACTTGAGAATAATTTCAAGATAATAATTTTGTACAAAAACAGGTCCAGCTGCCTCCTAGTCAACATCTTATTTTGAAACAAGCTCACCTTAAGCCGGGAAGTGCAAACATAGCTAAAGTTATTTAAGCCTCTGTTCTTTTGATTTACAAGTTCTTTGAACTCATTAAAAAGTACTTGAATTTCATGTACCACTCAGAAAAATTAGTAACAAAAAACCAATGAGAAACTCTGCAGAAATATATTTTTTTACATTAAATATAGTAAGATACAAATCTGAGTAACTCCTCTCGCTTCTCTGTAATAAACAGATTTACAGATAAATCATCACCAACGTACCTCCTTCCACTTGTAACAGTAATTTTTAGAGAAATATTTTAGAGAGATAGAAGCCAAACTATTAACCACAATGGGAATGGGTCAAATCTCTCTCCAAACTCAAACAATTTCTAATATTATACATAGCATTAGTATTCCTAATCTAAACTTGTTAACTGAAGAACTGTTGATGTACTGAAGAACATTTCAAGTACGGCATTTTCATAAAAGAATCTGGAGCATTCTGGGTACCTAAATGCTGAGAAAATGTGAACAAACACAGAAAACTTTGTTTCTACAACTTTCCTTTCCCTGTTAACAATTCAGGATTATTTACATGCATACTTTTGTCTTTCTTCACTATTGTATAAAGTGACTCAATTCACATCCATGCTGCCTTTTTTTCAACCCTACTTCATATCAGGGATGAGAAAAAAGGAAATCGAAAATGGGACTTTGAACAGGATACACTCCCAGAATAGAATTGTAAAGGACAGAAAAATAAAGTCTAATTAACTTATGAAACCAGAGAAGTACAACAGAGAAGGCGCAACGTGACACAGGCTACTGGAGTTTGATGCTTGCTGTGAATTCAGAAGATATCAAAAGGGTCCCTACTGCTACATCCATTAACCTCACCTAGCAGGTGGGAGGACACTACAGCACTTGTGTTTTGAAAGTCTACAGGACCACACGGCACTGAAAGACATGGAAATTCAGAGATTTTAGGCTGCTTTGCTTTTTATTTAAATATAGCCCCACTGCCAAAGCTAACAAATGAAAAAAAGTAAGACTGAAAGGCCTGGGAGCTCCAAGGGCTTCCAAAGAGATAAAGCCAACAGCCAAAGAAGCTGCAGATGGCATTTATGTACATCTTCCTCTGTTTCTTCCTCAGCACCTCCACTGTCTGTTTTTTTATGGTTAGAGGCAAGGATTCAATCTGACCTTGGAGAATACAGACAACAGCAACAGGATGCCGTGGCCTGAATGCTGAATGCCTGTGCTTCTGTCAAAGGACCTGCTGAAAAACAAATGGGTTTTAAGTATTCTTGAGCGATGCCAAAGTCATCAAAACATTCATTTTGCCCTCTAAGATAGTGATGGGGAGGACAAACTGGTATTTTGCTCAAGAGAAACATCATTCCCTGTTTCAGTTCCCCTTTAAACTCGTGGAAACACGTGGCAGAAAACAGATATTGTTCTTGGTGCTCTCCACTCAACAGGAGGAGCGAGCCAACTCCAACAGCCTCAGTGGTGAGGTTTCAGGAAAAACTGAGCCAATCTCACCACCTAAAAGGTGGTCCCAGCTCTGCCACATGCTGCTGCTGCTGTTTCACATCTTCTGTGAACATCTTTAATAAGCCAAGGCAAGTCGTTAAGCCAGCAGAGAGCTAACCATAGGAATGTAGGGTTTTTTACTGGTATTTCTGAGTTGACCGAGCTCACTGAGGGATCAGGCAAACCCAGCAGCAGCCTAAGGGAAGAGCAGGGCAAGATGACCCTTTTTGGGCAGGCGGCTCTCAAATCGTCTCGGGAATGTTAGCTTTTCATATGGAAAGCATCATTTTACTTCCACAGATGAGATTTGTGGGATTCAGTCACAGATTAAGACATCTAAATACAGGAA